ACCACATCATCCTTGTCCTCAGAAGTCAACTGAACTTCAATTCTGTCTTCTTCCTTCTTGATTAGGCTCTCATATAAATCACTGACAATGAAGGAGGGGTAGTACCTGTCCTTTAGTGTTTCATAAACATCAGTCTGAATTTTGTAGAAAACCTCAATGCCTTTATTGCCCACAAGACTTTGTTGTATTTCTTTGTAAAGTGACTTTTCCACAGGGATTTCTCTGGTTTCCACAAAGAAATTCTGATAAATTTCACTCACTAGTTGAGGTATTTCAGTCTGGAACATAAGGAGGTTGGGATGGAAGAAGAAAAGAGAAAAATAAATGTAAAAGAGGACCATGTCTCAGAATCCTCATGGATTTCATTTAAAGAAGGTTGAATTGGAGATATCTGGTGTCTGGAAATATAAGTGCACAGCTCTGCATTTTAACATTAGTTAAGATTAGTTACCATGCTTGTGCAATCATGCAGAACAGGCAGTTTTACAAGATATAAAGTGATGGAAGTCTCCATAACAGAGGAAATAACTAAGTCCTAAAATGTGGCCTCACTTTACCAACTTTTGTACTGTATTGAGAGAGAAAAAGCTTTTTTTTACTACAGACAATAAATGACAATCAATGAATAACTGGTGTTCAATATGAAAATCAGGATTTCATACTAAGGAAAATCCTGAATGTTTCTCCAAATACATTCAGAAATAAATCCCTGGTTATTCCAATATTCACAAACAACAAATATATCCTCCCTGTGTCCAATGGAAAAATACCTATCTTATTCAACGGGCTTTGCATCAGGACTCCCAACAGGAGTACCAGCAAAAAAAGTAATGGTGCAGGTGTAGCAGCTGCCCACCCGAAAATTTTCTAGGTGCCAGACAAGGTATCACATGATAATTACTTGGTAATTAGGTAAGGGTAGCTATTGAATTCAATACATTAGTGAAAATTATTTCTTGGTTAAGAAAAACTGCTATACTTGGTTTTGACTCTTTTAAATGGGCTTTTGTATGTGACAATGTTGGAAAAACATCAGTGGTCCCATGTTCCATTTTATCATCGTTCATGTTTATTACTCCTTTTCTTTCCTCCCCGCTGTTAAAAAAAAGTAAAGGATTTTTAATTCCGCCCTGTTATCACAAGACAAAGGCAACAAGATAAACCAACTCAAGTAAGGAAATGGCTAGTACCATTCTGGACTAAAGAACAACTGCTGATTTTAGACATATAAGAAAAGAAAATATTAACACAACTTTTCTGAATATTGATTTTGCAGCAGAACTCATCATATAAAGATTCAGTTTTATTAACAAGCCCCCATATACTTGACACTTCTTCTACCTTGTTAGCATTCTTCAGATATTCCACAGACTCCCAAAGGCTAATCAAAGCCCTCTTGTCCATCCTTTCCATGTACATTCGAAAATGCTCTCGATAGGATGGGTTAGCCAAAATATCCTCAAACTGAAGAATCTGTAAGGAGAAATCAAGTATAAAGCCCAGAAAAGTAACTAAATGAGATTAATAGTCTAACCAATGTGATGTAAACAGTGAAAATGCAATGGCCATGCTGAATTAGTTAGCGTATTGCAGGACTTTTTAGTCTGTCTGACACAAACAAACCTGATCAACACAATCAAAATTCTCCCTTGTTGGCAACAGACATCTAACCAAGACAGTTAAACTGGTGCTGAATGTAGTTTAGCAGCAAGTGAAACATTCTGTCCTTGGCTACACTTGGGCTACGTCTACACTGGCCCCTTCTCCGGAAGAGGCATACTAATTTACAACTTTGGAATAGGGAAATCCGCGGGGGATTTAAATATCCCCTGCGGGATTTAAATAAACATGGCCGCCGCTTTTTTCCCGGCTTGGGGAAAAGCCGGAAAAGAGCGTCTAGACTGGCGCGATCCTCCGGAATAAAGCCCTTTTCCGGAGGATCTCTTATTCCTACTTCAAAGTACTTGTAAATTAGCATGCCTCTTCCGGAGAAGGGGCCAGTGTAGACGTAGCCTTGTAGTAGAGAGACAGAAAAGCAGCAATGCCTACATAAAGGGTTGGGATCTAGGCATGTTTTAGCTGGGATAATGAATAATGAATTGCTTGCATAACATTTTGCTGTATCTTTTGCCACTTGATAAGAGGCAAACAGGTACTGGTAACCATACCGTGAACAAACCAGAAAAAGAAGAATATGCTGTGTGTGTGCACCATTCCTTTCTTTCACATGGGGAAGAATCAACCCATTGTCAAAGATTTAAACTCCATTTCCATCAATTAGGAGACATGACTGATTTTTTTAAGTCTTCATATTCAAAGAAAAGCAAATGCACAGCACCTCTGGATAAAAAGTTTAAAATATTGTTTTTTCTAACAGTGAACATCTCTGGATCACGCCACCCTGTGCAGCTTTCACATTCAAAATTTACATGATATTCTGAAGTCATTGACAGTCTGGGGTATATTAGAAACAATAGACTGATCCTAACTGTGGCAACAACTTTAAACCAGTTTTATATTATTCTCTCTTTCACCATACCCAGAATAATTCCAAACAGCCTGTTTCATTAACTATACTATTAAATTAATTATCCATAGTCTGATAGTGGGAAGTTAATTGTATAATCCCTCATAGTTTAACAGGATTATGGATTATAATGAAATAATCAGAAAAAAATAATTTGGATACTGAGTACTTCATAACCAGCCCACTTTCTTAGCTTTCTTGAATTTGCCATTTAACAAGAAAACATATTAATACTTTTCATAAGCAGTGCAAAAGCAATTATCACTATGTTGGTTTATAATTCATAAGCGACTCTTTAAATACAGTAGTTAACTGAATGCTGTTCCTCATCTGCACACAGCATTTCTAAAATATTTCATTAGACAGCAATTTTTTGAGAAGCCATTTTTAAAGATGTAACAAGAGGAATAGCTAGTCTACAGGAACAATCATTTGCTCTTTTAGCCACAGCATCACACTACGTGCTCATGCTCAGCTGGTTATCTACCATGATCCCTCAAACCATTTCAGCTGCACTGCATTCCAGGATACAGTCTCCCGTTTGGTAAGTACGTAAGAACATAAAAACGGCCATACTGGGTCACACTAAAGGTCCATCTAGCCCAGTATCCTGTCTACCGACAGTGGCCAATGCCAGATGCCCAAGAAGAAGGGATCACAACAAGTAATCCTCACGTGATCCCTCCCCTGTCACCCACCTCCAGAGAAGCAGAGGCTAGGAACACCATTCCTACGCATCCTGGCTAATAGCCATCGATGGAACAAACATTCATCAATCCGTCTAGCTTTATTTTGAACCCTATTAAAGTTCTAGCCTTCACCACATCCTCTGGCAAGGAGTTCCACAGGTTGACTGTGCGCTGAGTGAAGAAAAATTTCCTTTTGTTTGTTTTAAACCTTAAAACATTCTTTTGTTTGTTTGTTTGTTTGTTTTTAGTGTGACTACCATGGCTACGTCTACATTGGAATCCCTTTCCGGAAAAGGGATGCTAATGAGACGAGTCGGAATTGCAAATCCGTGGGAGATTTAAATATCCCCCACGGCATTTGCATTTACATGGCTGCCGCTTTTTTCTGGCTTGGGGATAAGCCAGAGAAAAGCGTCAGTCTAGACGCGATTCTCCGGAAAATAAGCCCTTTCAAGTAGGAATAAGAAATCCTCCGGAAAAGGGCTTATTTTCCGGAGAATCGCGTCTAGACTGGCGCTTTTCTCTGGCTTATCTCCAAGCCGGAAAAAAGCGGCAGCCATGTAAATGCAAATGCCGTGGGGGATATTTAAATCCCCCGCGGATTTGCAATTCCGACTCGTCTCATTAGCATCCCTTTTCCTGAAAGGGATGCCAATGTAGATGTAGCCCATCTGTCTTCCTAGTTGTGACCTCACTTGATTGAAAGCAAATGATCTTATCTTTGTGATGGAAGAAATGACCATGTTTTTTAGCTAATAATATTTAGCTCTTACGGTATCTTATATCTACAAAGCAGTTTGCAATTACTTCTTTGAAAAACTGTTCTGAGGTTGGTTAGTAAATATTATTCTCATTTTAAAGGTCAGCAAACAGAGGTAGCAAGATTGCTACTGTGATACAAAGTCATTGATGGACTGATGAGAACTGGAGTCCAGTGCTCATTCCCCTAGACCATATTTCTTATCAGTGCATTATTAACAATGAAATCTAACAACCGACTGAAAATATAAGACTGAACTGCTTTGAAGGATTTTTTTTTTTTTTTTTTTTTTTTGAGGGAGGAGGCTGCAGAATGTCAAATCATGCTCTACTATGTAACATTTCTGACGAGCTTTCTTCTGACATTAAATTAGGCCCTTGGCTTGGATTATGCCCCAGAATACATAGAAGGATCTAATTATTTGCGATAGTAATGGTTTACTGAATTATTTAAATAGCAGATAAAATGTACAGTATGTTGACTACAGGATATTCTAGATGGTTAACAAAAAATAATTTTTGAAAATAAAAAGTTATTTAAATTCCTCCTCTTACCACAGAAAACTGGTGGCTATTCCAATATTTAGACCTATAAAGCCCTAAACGGGTTGGGTCCAGGGTATCTGAAGGACCGTCTTCTCCCATGTGAACCTGCCTGGGGATTGAGGTCAGCTGGGGAGGCTCTGCTCAGTGTTCCCCTACTTATGGAGATAAGATTAACATCTACGTGGAACAGGGCATTCTCAGCTTTTGCTCCCAGGCTGCGGAATTCTCTTCTTTGGGATATTTGCATGGCGCCAATGCTAGCATTGTTTCAGCATCAGACTAAAGCCACCCTTTTTACTCGTGATTTTATTGGTGTTTGAGTCTGTATGTGTGTGTTCCTCTTCTCGATATTTTTAGCAGGTTTTATGTCCTTCTGGGGTCTCGTATTTTAAATTTTTATATATATTTGTAATGAGTTTAAAAAATTTTGTAAGCTGCCTCAAATATTTTAAATAGAGAGGCAGGGTCAAAATATTTAAATATATAAATAAATCTGTTTGATACCTCACTGGTTACCCAAAAGCCAACAACAGAGTTCTCTTAAAGCAACCACGCCTTAGGCTTCCACCCAGACACCCAAGTCAAATGAAATTCTACCAATCCCAAAGTATCGGGCACATTACCTCCCAGGTCAATGAGTATTTCAGATCTTACCTCAAATACACATTTACAGCCAACTCTTATTAACTAAGTTAATATTAAAAAAAGAAAAGAGTATTGGTTAAAAGAGATCAGCACACATACAGACTAAGTACAGTTCAGAGATCATGTTCATAATATAGATGCTGAGCTTTATAGTTGCAAGGAGTTCTGTAGTCCATAGGTCAGTCCTGGAGGAATTCTGAAATTTTACTATGGCTCCATATGTAACAATTGCACAATTCCCCCAAGAGTAATAGGTTATAGTCAAAGGCCTATATCTGAGTAAATCCAAGCAGGCTTGGAGATCGCAACCTGCAATTTAAAGCTTTCCCTGATAAAGCAACAGGCATATCTGAGAGAAAAAGGATCAAGTCTCAAGGGTCTTTATACAGTTTTCCAGCATCCTCTTGACCATTAAGTCCTGGGTGAATAATAGGTAATCATGGAGACTTCCAAATAGATCTACCTCCCAAGCATCACTGGTAATTAGCTATTTGAATCAGCATAAGACGATTGCCTATCATTCACCCATGATTTGCTGTATACTTTAAAGAGATGAATACAGTATAGACAACCTATAGTAGTTAGCTCTTCTGTGGGGTAGTGTTTCTATCCATAGATTACAAAGGTTTACATTTTGCAGATGGGGAAGCAGAGGCAAAGAGGGTGAATTCATTTGTTTGGGGTCTCCAACTAAGTCACTGGCACAGCTGGAACTAGAACCCCAAGGACTAGGTTCCCAGGTCAGGCCTATCTATCCACTGAACCATGTTACCTCTCCAAATTGTAATACTTTCATGGTACAATAATTTCTATAGCCATCAGTCACGATACCATATGAAATTAGGACTTTAAGCAAAAAAAAACAAAACCCCAACAAAACAAAACAAAAACTGGTAACAGTTTAAATCTTAAGAAACAAATGGTTTGCAAGAAAACACGTTAATAAAAAATAAGGTGAAAATACTGACAGAATTACATTCAGTTTTTTCATAAGGCAACAGTAAAGAAACTCTTTTAAAAAAAAAGTCCAAGGTGAATAAAATTAAAATATTTTATTCATCATGCATCACAATAAATGACAAACAAGTAGATATTATGACTGACTTAAATGTTCAACGTGATTATTTTGCAGGACTGGACTGCAAGATACATAGAACACAAGAATTATGCTGCCAAGTCTCTCTGTGTTTGTACCACACTAGCCTACTGTTTTGAAGAGACAGGATATCAAAACCTGCTTAGAATTGTTCTGTGACGCATTCCTGTACATTTTTGTAGCACCCCACTGCTCACTATTAACCCTGCTT